TATTAAATTATAGTACTATTTTTCTATCATTCACTTTCATTTATTTTATATATTATATATACTCCAAAAATCAAAGAAGATATATAGATTTTGTAATAATAAATAAAATTTAAGTTAAATCTTTATCTTAATATTAATTCTTTAGTTTTTCCCTCATCCTCTATGTTACGTGACTTTAATTAGTTTCTTGGTACTATATGCAACTCAAACGGTTTGCCTTTCTTCCTATACATTTTTATTTTTTTTATAACATATATATTTCATTATAAAATTGATTGATTTAAGAGTCAAAGTTAATAAAATTCTATCAGGTTTATTCTTAAGATATATGTTTTGTATTTATTCTTATCTCCGATATATTGTTCATTATAATTTAATTTATTGTTTTCATTTATTAATATCATAAATGTTATAAGATTTTTATCTATTGCTGAGCGTTATCAAGACGTAGATATCGAGATTCTTAGGTGTTAATCAAAATTATTGTAGATGTAGAGATTTTTAGTTGTTAGAAATATCATAGAGTATCGAAAAATAAAACTTTAATTAACATTTCATTGTCTATACATCAAAATATCTTATCATCATCAACAATAGAGACAGGATTTTAGAACCAAACATAAATGAATCTCGTGAAAGCATTTATGAGGAAAACCACATATAAATTTTAATATAATCTCATTTGTTCCTTACTAAAATTCATAATATAATTTTAATATTCGTTCAATTTTAACTTGAAATTTAATATTTTTTTATTTTTTCAATAATATCATATTATGAATTTGAATTTGAGTTTTACGAACTCATAAGAATAAATAAATAAATAAATTAATTATTAGATATAAAATATATAAAACTTCACTCTTATTAAGTTTCCAACCTAATGATTATTGATATGATAGTGCAAAATTTTATCAATACAAAACAAAACTAATAATCATTTGTGAGATCAAAGCCTTTGATTTTAATTTTGAGAATTAAAAATAATAATATTTGAATAAGAAGAATAAAAATGATTCAAAGAGATCCTATAATAATTCAAAGAAAAGAGTGAATCTCTAATGATGGGCTTGTCATGTTTCCTTTCTTTATTTTCTTTATTTTCACTGTGACTATTGTTTTCTCCAATAATGTTGTAAAATATCTGCGTGATATTGTGGGCGCCCACATGCACTCATCATTGTCCACTAGGATTTGGCTGTATATTTCAAGGCCCACACTTCCATTTTATTAACAAATTTACCCCTCCCTTCAAACATGAAATTTGCATCTTCAATAGCATTTAGCATTGAGCTGATAAACATGTTCTATCTAAAATGACAATCCAAACGAGAGTGCAACCAATTTAACCTTTCAAAAATACCACCCATGTGATGGCCTAACGGTAAACACATGGATCATCCGCCGGCTTGATCTAAGTATGATCCTTCATAACAGCATCCTTTTATATATGATATTTAAATATTGATTCTCCTGTCTAGAAGACACGATCTATTTTGTGAGCTGCTTTATCGTGGGTTGAGGACCACAATGCTATTGTCCTATCATTCAAATAATTAAATCAATTAGGTTATATTGATAAAGTACCATTCAAATTAGTTTTTAGAAGTTAAGGTAATATTTTATAAAATGTTAACCCTTATATATTTAGTTTATGTTTGAATTAATTTTTAGAAATTAAGGTAATATTTTTAAAAACTTAATCCTTATACGTTTATCTTTTAATATTTTAATAATTAAATGCTATTAAAATAATTAATTTTATCGAAGACGATACAATATATGAGATTAAAATAGAAACAAGGTGATTGTATCATAATAAGAAAGAGAAAAGCTTGAAAATCAACTTTTACCTGACAAATTTGATTGATGGATACTCGAGGGCCCGAAAAAAAAAAATCCATGATTAAAAAGTGTAGTAAAAAATTATGTTTTGATCCACCAAGGATTAAAGTGCATAGTTGAAATATATATATCTCTAAATTTTACAAGTTCTTAAGTAATTTACTCTAAGAATTTTTTTTTTTTTTGAATTTTAAGGCATTATAGAGTTCATTGTTAGAACTGTAATGCTAGTAATCAAAGTACCATCCATAAAATAAAGAGAACAAACGAGTTGTCTTAGAGAAATGATTGAAGTGATGAATTTGGATGGCATTGAAGGACAAAATTGGCAACTTGAAAAGATAAGTGCTTTCCACGGTGGCCAGTGTGGTAAAAAGACGGCGAGTGAAGGTGGTGGTAGTGGTGGTGGTATCAGTCAACAAGAGTACTTGAAGAGGGATCAATGCGTAGGACTCTCCAATATATATATGTTCCCTCCTTAGTGCCCACTAACTACTCCAACACCTTCACTCGCTATGATTTGGTTATATTTTCACCCAAAAACGCATAATTATATTTAATTTAAAAAATTTTCAACATCATAAATTTTTAATCTATAAATTTCAATCTTAATCATTTACATTATAAGATAATTCTTTGTTTTAATATGTAGTTTAATAAAACATGAAGTTTTTGATAGTTTCAATAATTAAAATGTTGTTTGAAAAAAATTATTGTTCTTGTTTGACTAATAAATTATATTCACATTCATACATATAACCTAAAAATTGAAGTTAGTTTTGAATCTTGATCATAGCAAAATTAATAAAAAATTAATGGGTGAGAATTCAGTAGATTTATTTCAAATCAAATCAAATTAGTGCAAATCAAATAAGTTGAATTGATTTATAAAAATTCAAATCAAGCTGTATTATAAACCGGGCTGAACTAATTTGATTTTTTTTTTTTTATCCTTTGTTTGGAAAGGAGAGGAAGGAAAATATTTGGAGGAAAGAAAAAATGGAAGAAAATAATGATGATTTGTCAACTCCATTTTCGTAATTATTTTTTACACTTGTGTTTGGATATAACGAAGGAAAGAAAATAAATTTGTTTTCCTTTATTTGGAAATGAAAAAATTTGAGAGGAAAATAAATGTTATATTGAAAATTGACAATTATATCATCACTTAAATTATGGGATATGTAAAAAATGGTTAAAGTTTATTAATTAATTTAGGTTATTTAAATAATTTAATAAAAATGAGTGAAATTTTCACTTTCCTCCGTTGTTTTCTCTCCAATTTGGAGAGATTAATTCAAAACATGTAGGCCAAGTGCAAAATAAGTGAAATATTAAATTCCTCGAGTTTTTTTCTCCTTTTCTATAAATAAGAGAAAGTACCTTTCTCTAAATATTTTCCATAGTTATTTTCCTTCATCCAAAAAAATATACTCATCCAAATAAATGGTTAAACGTTTGAGTTAAATTTATTTGTTTTTTTTACATTTTTATAAAATGTTTAAACTAAATCAAAGATATTTTTACCTTTTCCATTAAAATTAAAATCACACTCAATGAATTGATCAGTTCAATTTGATTCTATCAATATTACAGAATTGATCAGTTCAATTCGATTCTATCAATATTACAGAAGTTCAATCCTAGATAAAATTTTTAGGTAGACTAAAAAATTAGCATTCATTAAAAACATGTATTTATATATATATACATAGAAACAAACAAGGGTACCTAAAAATAAAAGAAAATTTTGATATACATAGTGATTACTAGTTGTAGACAACTTTATTTCTTAATTGACATTTGATCCACTTTTTCACATTAGATGTGTTAGAAGGATGCATGAATACAAAGTTAAATTTAACCAAAGACAAAAAGTATGAAACTTCTTGGATTTGTTTTCTTTTCATTTTTTTTTTTTATTTGTATTGTACAAATAAAATTTTAGTTTTTGTCCTTATCTCCAAAGTGAAAAAGGTCCCAGCAAATTATTATTATTATTGTTATAATTATTAATTATAATAAAGAAAGTGATAAAGGCATTTCTCTTTGAAGGAACAAAGGGGGGACCTAGCATAAATTCTTGCAAGAAATGTGAAAAAAAAGTAATATAAAGTTTAATGATTTAATATAAAGTGAAATTGAAAAAAATAAAAAGAAAAATCATAAAATAAAATCATTCCATAAAAATGAAAATAAGTTAAGTGGCTTATAAGATGCAATGATGTTTGACTAGAAAAAAAAAAAAATCATTCTGCTTATCAAATTTGTTTAATAAATCAATTTATATAAATTTCTTTTAAATAATGCTATATCTATCCCATTTTATTTGCATGGTTTAACAAAACAATATATTAAGAATTCAATTAATAAAAATTATTTTACTATTTTTACTCTTTAAATCATTAAGATATTAACAAAAGTCTTTCATTTAATGAATAACCATTAATGTCATTAGCGGAAAAATAATTGTTGAAATATATAAATTTAAAAACCTTATAAATATTTTGGGACATCCAAAAAAAAAAAATAATAAGTAAATAAAATGGGACGGAGAGATTAAATTATATATAAGTCTAGTCAGAACTCTGTCTTTTGAAGCTCCAATTGAGCATAATGCTATGTTTGGGAAATAAGTAATATAAGAGCGGAAGCAAAATAAGGATGTAAAATGATACTATTAATTTTCCTCCGAATCAATTTATCTTATCCCTTCCTTGACATTTACACCCAAATCAAATAAGGAATTTTGATAATCCTAAAAAAATTTCAGTCTCTATCTTATATCCACCAATATTTTACACCCATCAAACAAAGCATAAGCTCAATTGGACTCACCTTAACTTTGCTCCTTTACAATCATTCATGAATAGGACATCAAAGGATAAACATTAATTCTATGAGGGGCGATTTCATAAATTCAAAGACTATAGGCTGAATTTCCAAAAATAAAAAATAAAGTTCTCCCACATCGTACATAAAAAAGTAACAAAATCCCCCTCGTCTCTCTCTCTCTCTCTCTCTCTCTCTATGAATGTTGCAAGGACAAAGGTACAGGCCCACGCGCGCATAAACACACACTTACACGCGCAACAGTTATACCCATTACAATTTACAAGTAAAGGGGGAGAGAGAAAAAAACAAAATAAACCCAGCTCTCAGAAACATAACAGAGGCACAGAGTTAGAGACAGACATAAAAACCCCATCTATTTGAAACAGAGAAAGAACCTTTTGCTTTTTAATGCTTTGATTCTCTCTCTTTTTTCTCTTTCCTGAAAAATCGTGCTCTATCTCTTTTTTTTTTTTGGGTTCTCTTTCTTCTCTTTCCCTCTGTATCGTTGAAGGGTTAAGAAAGGATATGAAGAAGCAGCAAAAGTACGATTATACAGTGAAGATGTGGAAATGGCCATACTAACAATGGCTAACCAAACAAAACCCAACAATGCAAACACTTCTCTTGCTACTGTTAGCGGTATTAGTATAATTAATAATAATAACGCCACCCCTGCTCAAAACCAACAACAAGTGAAAGCAATGTTCCATGACTTTCTCGGGATGAAGGCAGCTGCTGCTACGACTGATTCTCCTGTCGGTTTGGCTCCCAAGAACGCTGATGCTTCTCCTTCTGCTTCTCTTTCTGCTGGGGCTTCTTCCGGTGGTGGTGTTCGTGGTCCTCTTTCCACTACTTCTGATCTTGCTTCTGGTCTCTGCTTAATCTTAATTACTTTTTAAATTTATATGCTTTTTTAGGTTGATGGTTTAATTTACTCTTTTTTAGTTGATTTATGTTTTGATCGCCATATTTTGTGAAAATGGGAACTTGGTTAGTTCATGGAGAAATGTGCTTCCTTTTGGCCCCCCCTCTTTGCTATTTCAGTGGGTAATTTTGTTTTTTGTTTCTGGATGAGCAAAATGTCTTTGTCTGTCCGTTTTAATGTACTTGTGAGTTTCAGCTGTTGATGCGGAAACTAGAAAGACTCTCTTTCAACTTTCAAGTAGTGCGGCGTGTGTGTTCTATCATGCGTTAGTTTTAGTTAAGTCAGTAATGGGGTTGGTAGCTTTTTAACTAGTTCTTTCTAGTGTGTAACTTTAATTTGCAATGACTAGCCATTTTCTAAGGTTTCTGTTATATTGAACTTGCTTCTGTTGATTGGTTTTGCCAATTTAGTATTCCGTGGTTTCTTTTAATTGGTCTTGTTTCCTGTAGAAGAACGATGACGGTTAAAGTGTAATTATATATATCTGCATTTACTATTTTCCTTTTGAAATTCTTTATTCAAAGTTGAGGAAGAAGTTGATGAACCATTATTTGCTACTGATCAGAAAAAACACACCACATGTACTACTTAGCCCATTCTGCATTATGGTCTTATGATATGTATTATTTGTTCTATGATTATGCTTGTTCTGTTTCTTTTCTTTCTTTGAGGCTCTTTCCATTAATGGCCTCAGTTGGTCAACATTACTGATCTTGAAGCTTGTCATTATATTATTGAAAATGTGCTGTGTTTAGAGATTACTTGTGTTTTCTGATTTGGACAGTTTAACCATTAACATAGAAGTTTTTCTCATAATTCTAATAGAAAGACAGGTCGGGAATCATCTTGAGGGGATTCCATTTTATGGTCCAAGGAGTGATATTTCTGGTCCTGAGATAAGCAACAGAGTAGGAGGAAGTAAGCGAAGTAATTCAGATTCTGCTTTTACGGGGTCTTCCAGGGATGGGATTCCGCAAATGGGTCATGACTCTCTTGAGAGCCTACATTTGATGAAGGTAACCTTTAACAAGTTATCATGAAGGTATGCCAAAAATGCCTTATCTGGATGTTGTTCTTCATGTTCATTGAGTCATATTCAATCTCAGATGATCAAGAATGGAGGTGGAGGAGAGAGACCCAGAAGATCCACCAATGATGATGAAGTTTTCTATGGTATGCAAGCAATGAGACCAACTTCTGCATCTCTCATACTGCAATCTTCTGCTGGCAGTCGACTTGATGCCAATGTTTCAAAATGGGAGCGATCTATTCCTGTGGGAACAGCCATACAGTATCCCCCTCGTTCAGGTCTATTTGTCCCTTTTATGCATCAAGTTCCAGCAAACAAATTCAGGGATATCAATGCTGGTCCTTCAGTTATCTCTCAATCAGCTGCTGATGAAGGGTCCAGAACTGGAATTAAAGGTCCTGGAATTTTGAGTTCCATCAATACTGGCACAGGCATTACCGAGAAAAATTCATCAGGGGCACTGGCAAGTGGCAGTAAACCTAAATCTGGGACTCATAATTCAGAACCGGAATTTTCAACTCCTTCAAGGTAAACTTCCTAATATAATCCACTGTCTTACCGTGTCCTTATACAGTTTTACTTAAAAAATCTTTTTCTTTCTGTAAGGAAACTTGATGCAATTTATTATGTTCTACATTTGTGGCAGTCGGCACGGTTTAACATCTGCCAGTCGTCAGATGACTATATTTTATGGTGGCCAAGCTCATGTTTTTGATGATGTCCACCCAAACAAGGTTCACTTCTCTCTATCTCCTTTCTAATTGTAAAGGACTTTGCTTAATCTTCTTAGTTTCTATTGTCTCTTGTAGAAAAACGTATACATTGCATGCTCAAAGGAGATCTATGTTAGTCTTCAATGATTATGTGACCAAACCAATCTGAGAAATATCCATATGCTTGACATGATCTTGGATGCCAGTGCTTAATTTTCCTTACTTATAACTCAAAGTAACCTTCTAAATGAGCATTAGTTATTCACAAAAATGCAGTTCTGTGGTTATGCAATCATTTTTGCAGTTGCTCTTTGTGTCATTAATGCCAGTCTGTAGAAATGCAGTTTGTAGTGCTTTAGAGTTTACAAAGATTTATAATATCAGTGTTACCATCACTTTTAGGCTATTTACTTGGATATGTTCTTGAGGCTCATTTTAAATGTGATCTTTTTTTTATTTGTTGTGAGTGTAAGTATGCTGCCAGGTGCTACATCATCCTAATCCTGATATTGTTTGATTATACTGAGTTTGCGAATGACCAGCTGTTGGCATAGTCTTTCACTAAAAAGCGTTCCTCATATTGTTAATGTTAATGTCATGTTGGGCTTCAGGGCTGGAATATGAAAATTTGAGCTTGATGTTGCATATTACAGATCGAATATCATTACCAATAATCACTTGGTTTACTCATTCGCTTGAGGAAGAGCTGTACCAGTTAGGCTTCTTTGCTAAAGCTTCCACTAGCATGATTAAAAGATTCAGAACTTCTTTTTGTAATTTTTCTAATGTTGTAATTATCTGAAAGTCAGTTTGTATCAACACATGACAGTGGCAAGAGGAATGCTGTTAGGCTTGTGTTATGATTAGAAGTTGATTTGAGCCTTCAGTTCTTTGTGATTACAACTCAAAGATAATAGATGTCCTATAATCTTTCAAATGACACGATTCATTTATTCTCATTCAAGAGATGATATGAGTCAGCGATGGTAATACCTGCAGGAAATTTTGCTTTATTACATACCAAGGCAAGGTCACTCTTATTGATTCTGAAATGAAACCATGGCAAATGCGCTTTGATTTAGTATGTGTAATGACTGGTCTTATTGCTTGTCCTCTAGATGAGACATCAAAGTGAAGAATCGTACCTTGAAGTTGATAAATACCTTGTTCATAACTTGCTTTAACTTGTTCAAGTCCAATATTCATTGTTTTTGTGAAAGAAATGGATATTAATTTCTATCTTTAAAGTGTTTGTCGGTGTTGATCAACATGTGTTTCTTCCTATGCATCTCATTGTGCCAGAACAACTTCGTTACTGTTTTGCTTGCTCGGCAGATGATTGGTTGTGATGTTTGTTCTGTGTGACAGTATTCCATGTTGAGTGCTTTAATTATAGCTTGGTATTAAACTAAAAATTTCTGGTTTCTCTTTCTGACTTCTAAATAATTCAATCTGCTTATAAATGAGGGGCGGTAATTTTATGCCTCTCTTGGTTGCTGAGCGAGCAACGGTTTCTTCTCCATCAGCTTATTGCTACACATTTCATAAACTTTTGCTCCCTAGTTTTTCATGCCATCCTTTTATTGCTTGTATTCAAATCATTGCCTAGAACTCAACTGAAAGTGCAGTAGTTCTGTTGTTTAACCTTTATAATTTGCAGCCTTTTGTATATAAAATGCCTTTGGTAATGCCACTTAACTATTGAGTTATTTTCTCGTGACATCAGGACAATAATTATGTGCGTGCTCTATGTGGTTTGATTCTATCTGCTTGCTTGATCAGTTGTTGCGGTTCAGAATTTTTTTTTAAACCTACTGATAAGCATGCAGTTGTTGGATTTACTAGTGAATTCTTCATGTTCATTCTTCTGCAGTCCTTAAAATCTAAAGGAGAGTAGAAAAAATTCGCACCCATTAACTTGATTCTGATTAAATTGGGGATGGGTTGAATTGTATTACCTCATGGAACGAGCAATTTTATGAAATTTTGGGATCATGATCTGTTCTTGGAAATGAAAGAAAATGATATGCTCTGATATCTGGCGGTCATCAACTATGCAGTTGGGCACTATTTTACTCTTTAACTATTAGCATTGGCTTCTGCATGGACACTTGTGTTCTTATGATTTCTCTTTCAGAAACTTTATTGAAATTATTTTGTCAACTGTCTTTTGAATTCTGTTCATCTTGTGTTTGTTCAGATGTGTTATCCAATTTGAATGATAATCCTTGGTGATGTTTTTGCAGGTGCATTGATACTATGTTTTTCTCTTTCTTTGTGCCATTAAATGCTTTTGTTTTTGTCACTGATAATGTGCTTGCTAGCAATTGGCATTTCAGTATAATTTTTTCTGAGTACCAGTTTCTGTCTCTGAAAATATCAGTTTTTCTATCTTAATTATCTTAATCAGCTTTCTTTCTGGAAGCAATTTGTTCCATTTGTTGAATATTTGAAGTTGCTCAACATAGTTGGATCACATCTTTTCATGTATTTACAATTCAGGCAGATGTTATAATGGCCTTAGCAGGATCAAATGGAGCATCATGGTCAACCACCTACTCGCCTAAACCTACCGTGAGGCCGGGTGGTGAAAATTACATGACTACTGGAGAAAATGATACCGGTGTGGCTGCTAACACCAAATTCCAACGCGAATTGCGCGGGAGGCTATCGAGCATTGGTAATTCTACTCAAGGAAGTGGCTCTGGTGACAGAGTCTCAACACCTACAGGTAATGATTCAAGTTTACTACCCAAGCTAGAGATTCGAGCTCTGTAAGTCACAATTCTGGAGGCTCTTAGTTTGCTGTTTTGGTTAGAAAAGTACATTTAAATTATTTTGCTTCCAAGGATTGATAAATATTATTTGCAGGAGGGCGTCATGGCAGCATGATAATAACTGAGGAGAGTAGAGATCAAGTTAAGGCAGGAGAAGCAAGTACTGAAGAGAAAAGAGAGGTGTAAGGCAAAGGAAGTTTTGGGGTTGTCTTGTTTGTAGAGGACTTAATTTAGCTCATCAGATTCATGTTCAGATGTAGACATGGCCAAGCCTCTCATATGATATGCTTGTCAATTTTTATATAAATTAAAATCTCTTCTCATTTCTTGAAATCAAGAAACATCAAATACTCCAATCTTTCAAAGAAAGAAAGCATTTAAGTTTCCAACTTATAAATAGGGGTGAGCATTCGGTTCGGCTAATCCGATTTGGTAAACACATGTTCAGTTAAAAAAAATTAAATTTTTAGCGATTGGTTAAAAGTTTAGTTAAAAAGTTAATTAAAAGTGACTGAAAATTAAGTGGTTTTGATTAAATTAGTTAATAAAAGCAAAATTTAAAAATATTTCAGCTTTTATTTTGAAGCTAAAGAGACACAGGAAAACAAAAGAAAATTTGAACATGATCAAAACTAAAGAGACAAGTTTACGAGCCACCTTATTGCAGTATCTAGGAACATAATCAAAAGAAAACAAAAGAAAATTTGAAGCTAAAGCAATAATTCTGCTTAAACTGGCACGCCATTCATTAGGGGGGAAACTTCTCTGAGGCATAGTCGAACAAGTTGTGGGCAATCTGATTCAAGCACAACCTTGCACAACCTTGCCATTAACTCCCCTTTCTCATTTCGAATAACAAAACTCAGACCACAACAATTGCAGGCGTTCAGCACACCAGCATCGCAATTGATTTGAACTATTTACAATGTTGTGCTTACTGCGCAAAATAGGAAAAAAGAATGCTGGTAAGTAGGTAAATGATGATCATCTAATTAATTTCTTAAGTGGAACAAAATCCTCTAATTAATTTCACTTAGTCTAAAGATTAACTGAGTATTTTGAAGATATTAATCTAATTAGTGGAAAGTTGGAATCAGTATTCATTGACATTCTCTTGCCGACAATTTTTATGTGAAGGAAATATTTATTATATAATATTTATTGACCTTTCCATTTGTTCTAACTCCAATTTTCTGGGTATGCCGACAATTCATTTCCACCTAAAATGAAACAAAAACTTTCTTATTATTTATATTTATATTTTTTATTTTTTTGTTTGGATTTATATTATTTATATTTAATTCTGCAACAGTTTATTATTTTTAGGATTATGAGTTTATGGTTGAAATGATATTTTATGGCCATTAATCTAGTTATATGGGTAATGGACGTAACGACCAAATTTTATGTTGCAAATCAAAGGGCAAACTCAGCGATCTATGCTCATGCAATGAAGTGAAAATAATATGAATAATTTATAATATTTCCCTGAAAATATCTTTATTCAAATAATAAAATATAATACTCCATCCATTTTATAATAATATATTTGCTTTCTTTTTTTATTTGCAACAAATTATAGACCATTTTAAAAAAAAAAAATACTAGAGTTTTTTAATTTTCTCATGTACCTCCATTTATTATGCCTTTTTTATCAATACTTTTTTATTTTTGATTTTTTATTGATAGTAATATTTAATATTAACTTAGAGATATATTAGATAAAATAGAAGTGAAATTTATTGTCGAAATAATATTAAATTGTTGAAGTTATATGATATAATTAAGATAAAATAGAAGTGAAATTTTTATTGTCGAATAATATTAAATTGTTGGAAGTTAAATATATATATATATATAATTATATATATTATATTATATATATGAAAAAATTTATAAAATATAAAAATAAAAAAATACACAAACATATTTAAGATTCATGCATGTTAATCTAACAAATTGTTTTCCGCTTTTAATTGAACATAAACTTTCAATAAAAAAGTTTTAAAGAAAAATTATAAAATATAAAAATAAAAAATACACAACATATTTAGATTCATGCATGTAATCTTACAAATTGTTCCGCTTTAATTGAAATAAACTTTCAATAAAAAAGTTTAAAGATTGATCGAGAAACACCTGAATCTAAATTTTATATATAATTTTATTTAGATTATTTGCCGGTTAATTTTAATTTTAAAAATAAAATTTGAGAAAAAAAAATAAAAAGATATAAATTTTATAAGAATCATTTTTCCATTTCCCATAAGCGCACTTTACTTTGTTGTGATCTCTTATTGATAGGCTAGAGAAATGAGAAATAGAAAATTAGGGGAAGGTTAAAGAAGTGATATATGGAAAATGAAATTAGTGTTGGTATTAGCACACAAATCAAGGATTCGAGTGGGACCCCACACTTGATTAGCTTAATATAATCTGGTCCAATCATCCTTTATTATGTGTTCTTTGTCTATAATTGGACAAAACACAATAATTCCTATTCACACGTTTTTTATTTTTGCTTTCAGAAGTGAAATTTCAATTTTATATATTATTATTATTATTATTAAATTTTCCAACTTCTGGAAAATAGCGTAGCTAATTAATATAAACATATTGAAAAATAAGATTAGAGCAGAGAAAAAGGGACTGGAAATAAATGACTTCTTTTTGAAAAATGAGATATAAGTACATAAATTTCTCTACCGTAATTATGTACCCATTTGACCTAATTGCACATATATTTATTTTTCAACAGACAAATGGTCAGACTGAATAATTAGTTTCCTTCAGCATGAGGAAATCTGCGGTTAAAGGTCAAAAGAAATTTTAAAGAAAAAATTTGCCACTTCACCGAACTCTTCTTTTATTTCAAGTCGGCAAAATAAGAAATTTGCTGTTTCTAATTTAATACAGCTCTATAATTGTTACTAATACGTGATAATATTTTCTAATAACTTAATTAATTATGAAAAGTTAAAGATTAAAAAAATGTATTAGATACACACATCTTAGGTATGGAGTTTTCAAATTTTGCTGCAATGCTATCATAATCAAAATTTTTTGCATCATCTATTATCTTAATTAGTAATTTTTTTTTTAGGGATATTATTTTCGTCTACTTATAAAAAGAAAGTAGCAATGGTTGCTAAAAAGGTGACTGGCTGTGGAATACAAAATGGAAAAATTAAACTACGACTCTTCTAGTTTGCGAAATACAATTATTCCGTCCCTGTTTTTTTAAAATATATTAATTTTTTTTTTATATTTTACTTCCGTTACATTATTAGGTTTTTTATTTTTAATTTTGCATATTTTTCATTAAATAAATAAGAAAATACAGAGGTCAAATGAGAGGTAGCAAAATATTATAGCAATCAAATTATATTTCAATTCCCATGAATTCAAAAAGATAACTAGTTCGTCCTTATATTTTTAAAAATAAAGGGAGTATTTTTGTCATTTCACAAGGTATTTAACGAAAAAGATAAAAAAATTTGAGCAGAAATAAACTATAAGTATATTTTAGTCTATTTTCTAAAAGACAGATGGATCGTATTGTAATTTTTTCATAAAGAATTAATTAGTTTTGATAGCATAACAATGTTTCAATATAGTTTTGATAGCAAACACAATCCACAGATGGACCAAGATGTGATTCAGACAGAGGAGTTAAATATTTTATATGCTCATTGTCATAATTTAAAAACAGAGGGATGGGTTCATCAATTGCACCTACATATATTATTATATCTTACATGATACTTTTAAATAATTCACTCATTGCGCACATGAGAGCAACAAAAACAATTTAATATATTTCTGTAATAGTATTTACTTTTCAGGACAACATGTAATACAAAAGTTGTCGGCTAATGCACCTTTGAATACAATAATTTTAATATTTGAGACATCATTAATTTTATGAATCAAACAATTGGTAGAAATAGAATATTAGAAGCTGGCTGTGATGATTGTTTTGTTGTTTTTAGTGTAATGGTGCTGGCTTTTGATTACTACAATCCAAGTTGTACATGATTTCCCACTTTTCATCATATGATTAACATTTTAACATTTTAGGTTTGGAGTATCTTTAAAGATATTTGAATGAGTGATATCATGTAATTTTAGAATTTATTTGGATTAATTAAGATTTAATATTTAATATATGACATCTCATAATTATTTTATATATAAATCCTTTCAACAATCACAATTTTGAATTTTGAATCACAAATTCTTTCAATAACAGCGATTCTGAAATTTGAATCATGCTCTTATGGATAAAATTTTTCTAAAAATACAATTATTCACTTAAATTAATCTAATTGCATGTTAATTTAAAATTTATTCATTAACTTCAAATTATATATTGAAGACCGAATATATAAAAATATTTTTAGTAGGAATGGAAATGTGGTGCGGTGCCTATAAAATTTGCACTGCCCCACACACAAACCCGCTTAAATATTTCAATATTTATATTCATTTCAAACTTATTTAAAATTTCATTTGAAATATTCATATCCATATCCATTTAAAATTTTAATATCCGCACCTGTTCTGCACCTATCTAATACATAAAATGTGCTTTAAATGGATTGCGGTGAGTAGGATATCCACGAAAATCTCTCTGTTCATATGTGTAGTACCTCACAAAATTCATTATAGTTGATCCTGGTTGAGCCTTGGAAGATGGAGATGAGAATAAAGGGTAGGACTAGAAAAGGAAAAGTGTAAAATTTGTCCAATATGCACTTAAAATTTCAAAAAATAATTATTATATTAAATTTTTAAAATTATATAATGAATTTTGGTGGGTAGAAGGTACCCGCATTTTTAAATCCACACTCAATTCAAATCCGCGGTGGATAGTTGATTTGACACTCATATACGTTATAAACCTATTTAATCAAATACTTAAATCTACTTTAAATGGTTTTTGGGATCTGACAGTGATGAAAATACACTCCACCTCCATCCATAGTTTTGAATAATGATATTTAACCGTTGAATCGTTGATTGTTAGTTAACAACCAATATTTAACTTTTAACTCCTTACAATTAATGACTAATTACAATAATTAAACTACACAAATATTTAATCCTTCATTTTATAGAGTGAACCAATAAATTAATAAAATGCTTAAGAACTTTTTTTTTCTTATTTAAATTGTAAGAGTCCTTTTTTTTTTATTAAAGAATTATTTATATACTAAGCACTTTATCCCTTAATCTCAATGGATTGAGGATACGTGTGATTGATAACTAATAATGGGAACAATAAAAATAAAAAGAGATGTGTGGATGTTACATGCCACAGGGGGGAGGGGGGGGGGGTTGATAAACTAATAATGGGAACAAATAAAAATAAAAAGGAGATGTGTGGATGTTACATGCCACAAGGGGGGAGGGGGGGGGGGGGTGGGGCACTATAGAAAGGACAAGGATTCCACTGTTCCCATGGAAGATAGAGAGAGAAGAAGGGTCCCATATTCTTAATCATCCAAAAGTCAAAAGACAAAACTGTTTCAAGTCTTGGAGAATGCCACAACTTTCTGTTATTGTTTGTTCCTTATTTTGGGTTCTCATTCAACCAAATCCCTCCATGCATTAAACATCTTCCCAATTCACACCTAACAGACAAAATTACTTTTTGTACAAACAGCCACCCTTATATTAAATCCTCATCCATTTTTTTATCTTTGACTAATTTTTTTTTTTTTTATTTTTTATTTTTTATTTTATTTTTTTTTATCTTTGATTAGTTTTTGGTTTTTGATGAGTTTTTTTTTTTTATTTTTTTTATTTTTTATTTTTATTTTTTTTTTATCTTTGATTAGTTTGTTTTGATGAGAGGATCACAAAGTGATAAGATATATTTAAATTTCATTAAATAATTTTTATAAAATTAGAAATTCAATCCATATATAGAAAAATAATTATAGAAAAAATAAATAAAACTTCCATAACTGGATTACCTCGCATCTAAAACGAGATTAAAATACTATATATAGACTCATTAACTTTACTTTCTATTAACAATACCATGTCTACTCTTTCTGAAGCCTACAGGGACCATCCACTCCATCTTCACCAAATCATCCCTCTCGACTTTGACTCCGTCCGAGCAGTGCCTGATTCCCACGTTTGGCCAGAATCCGGCGAGTTGGAGTCAAATGATCACCACTGGTTATCAATACCAACGATTGACCTGAACGATCCTGATAGAGCCAAGCTAATAGGGCATGCATGTGAGACATGGGGTGTATTTCAATTGACAAACCACAACATTCCATTAAACCTATTAAATGAAGTTGAGTTTGAGATAAAACGGCTATTTTCGCTACCGGCAAGACAGAAGTTGAAGGCCTTAAGGTCGCCTGGCGGAGCCATAGGATATGGAATAGCTCGAATCTCGCCATTCTTCAATAAGTATATGTGGCATGAAGGGTTCACTATTATGGGTTCCCCTGTGGATCATGCAATGCAACTTTGGCCTAATGGCTATCAGCGGTTTTGGTAAGTCCATGCAGTTCCATGCACGTACAGAAATTTCAACATTTATATATGTGTATATAAAGATTGCTTCTTGTTTGGTTAATTAGGAGTCTCACTTAATTAGTTTAAATTTGCACTGATGATTTATACTCTTATGGAAGCTGATTAGTAAGTTTAATTCATTTTAATTGGCACCCTTTGCATATATTTAAAGCATATTTTTTCACTATAGGATTTGGATATTATATTATTTGTTGATCAGTTCAATCTAGCCAGCTACAACGATATATAGTAAGGGTTTATTTTTTCTCTTTTCTTTTCTTGAGAAAAGTTTTTTTTAACAGATATTTAATATACTTTAAATATTCTTTTCATTTTGAAGAGTAATTCAAGTAATAGAACATATTTAAATTTAATAGATCGATGTTCAATTTATTAAAAAACACTTACAGAAAGGAGTAATCACTAATCTTGAAGCAAAAATAGTCATACACTAGTCTTAATTACTACTATGTGATAGATTTTTTTTCCCCTTTTTATATATATATCATGTATTGGATGGACAGAATATAATGTTAGAATATTATAATTAGCATATATACTAGTCTTTATCAAAATGTGATTTGAAATTATTTTCTTATATATACTTAGATATGTAGTCTGAATTCAGTGAGCCCTTCTGAAAAAGAATAAGGGAATTGTTTTCTTTCTTCTTTCTTTCTTCTTTCTTTCTTTTTCTTTTTAAAAAAACAAAAAAAACAAAAAGGGTATTCAATTTCGTATATGGTGGGTACTCCTTCCACAACGTTTCTTTTAAATCCAAACTGCAATTAGTACTTCAGTAATCTTTCCAATACATATAAAATTTAGCATATACATAGACCTAATTAATTTGAAATAAATTCTTCAACTTTGCAAATCATATGTACGTACTCATCCCTAATTACGTGTTTAATTTATTTTATGATTAACATTAACCAAAAAGTAAAAATAAAACAGTGATGTAATGGAAGATTATCAGAAGAAAATGGAGGAGCTAGCCACAACCCTAATACATCTTATTCTCCAAAACATATCCATGTCAGAAGAAGAAACAAAATGGTTGGGTTCACCCGGAGGTTCGAGCACGGCTCTACAGCTAAACTCATATCCAAATTGTCCAGACCCACATCGAGCCATGGGTTTAGCCCCTCATACAGACACTTCTCTTTTGACAATATTACACCAAAGCACCATTAGTGGGTTACAAATATTCAAAGAAGGATTTGGATGGGTGCTAGTTTATCCTACTAATGGTGCACTTGTAGTAAATATTGGTGATCTTTTGCATATTCTTTCAAATGGTCGGTTTATCAGTGTTCTTCATCGTGTGATCATGAAAGAGCCTAAACAAAGATTTTCTGTTGCTTTTTTTTACTGCCCACGTACTGATTTTCATGTCTTTCCCTTGGGTTTGAGCTCTGGTGATGAAGATGATGATCATGGACAAGTTCCTCTTTATCGGTCCGTCTCGGTGGCCGAGTATGTTGGAATTAAGTCTAAGAATCTTGATAAAGCTCTTTCTTTGATTAGAATTTAGGGTTTTCTGTTTTTAATTAGTGAAATCTTTGTATTTTTATGTTTATATATCTTTAGTGAATTTAGAACTTTTTTATTAATATTATTTTGAAATTTTTATTTTCTTTAATTATACCCAACTGGGAAATGAGTATTGCATGTTTATGTATATATGAACTTTAATTTTATTCCTAAGAAAAGCAACTTTAATTTAGGGTTTTATGGATATATAATGCACAAAAGTAATACCACTTTGATCTTTAAACATTTATGAACGTTCTCTTGTTAATTGCAAACTCTCTTGATTAAATATTTAACTTTGGCTAATTTAGGATATAAATTTAAAGTTTATTATCAATTTACCCATTTCCATAAAAATAAACTTTCAAAATACTTTTAAAATAATAAGAGATATTTAAAATAAAAAAAAAAAAAAAAGAAAAACAAAATCTAAAACTTTTAAAAAATAATAAAGATATTTAAAATAAAAAAAAAAAAAAAAGAAAACAAAATCTATGTTCGTTATAAAAAAAAAAAAAAAAAAAAGAAAAACAAAATCTATGTCGTTATGAAAGATGGAGAATAAAAAAGACTATACAAACAAATCATTTTAATTTTATATATTCTAAATTCTTTTAATTTCTATTTTTTAAAATTATTTTTTAGTTATTTTTTAATATTTAGTAATTAAATTCTGTATATTACTATATTTCAAAATTTTAATAGATAGAGCCTCGAAATCAAAATAACTTATTCTAGCGGTTGAAAGGTGCTAAACTCTATCACGGTGATAACAAGATTGAATTATAGAGTCAATCCCACGCTCCAAAAGAAATCTTATTTGCACAACGTAGATGAATATCATTTTCACCGAAGCCTCTGCAAAATTGTCCTCTTCTGAGTTTCAACTTTCACATTACTTAAGGATCGGTTTGGTAGGAATAAAATTACAATTTAGAAATAGTCTTTGTTAATTTCTTAATTAGCTATATAGGTTAGAGCAACACGTGTTTTGTATTTGTTTGTTCTTTTGGTCATTGTTTGGATTATTAATCATTAATGAGACAAATGAACTCTAATCGAATCATTTAGTTTTGTAGTGCCTAATTAATTAATTAAAATAAATAAGGCAACTTCACTCTTTGTCCTTAGCCTGATTTATAAGACTTTAGGTGATGTAGAAATGTTAGCTTGTCTTTTTATCAAGAAGATGATGACATGCATGAGGATTAGGATGTTAGAATTATATACACTAGAATGGGTGTTAATTGATTGGGATTAGATCAATTTTTATATTTGGAATTAATTTCATACCTTATAAATGTTTAATTATTATTTTTTTTTCCAGTTTTTTCATGAGTATTCTAGTATGGTTTTTAAGTGTTAGACTAACCTCGCTTTAAGATAGCTGAATATTCTTATTTATAAATATATATTGACGAATTGAATTCTTAATTTTATAAATATGAGCGAATTTAGAACATAAAGTTGAAGAGACTGGAAAATTTTCTCAAAATTAAAGACGGCAAAGTAATATTTTTTTTTTTTAATTTTCTTTTTTTGACCTGGAATGAGGCCATCTTTGATAAGCTTTTACTTAGGAGATTTGATAGAATGAAAAACACTGACTACACAATCAAGATACAAGACTCATTAAATTAATAAAAACACTTGTGATCGAGAGAATTTAAACTCGAAACTTCTCGCTTCTCACACAAACACATGATTTGCTTTTACTTGGCTTCTTTGATAGACCTAAATTCATAAACTTCACGACAAATAATAATTTGACCAAGCAATTTAGATAGCAAATTAAAGACAAAACAGCCTGCTATACTTGACTTGTCTTCATGTCCCACTTGACTCAAGTGGGTCCTTATATACAGTAAACAAAACCATACGAGCCAATCATTTAGTGACAGATACTTACGTAGCCACATTATATATGTTTTATTTTTGTAAAAGTGAGCCTCTCTCTTCTGTCTGCCTTTGCTCTTTCCGTGGGGTGGCAATTAGGTTGAGTGGGCAACATAGCAGACAGCGAGTTGCGTGGTTTAGTTGGAATTGCTTGTGTCTAAATAATTATCCATAACCCTCCAAAAAAGAGTTTGTTTTCAAAGCTCAATCTTTGATTTTTGTCCATATTTATTACTAGGACCTGCTTCCAACAGCAAAGTTTTTTAGAAAATAAATAAGAAAATGAAAAGCAAAGTGACAATACAAAATACATAGTACAAAAAATATATACAACACATTTTTTAGTCCTTCATGATTTGATTTCTCCAACCTAATATGATTTGGTCATGTGAAAATTTTGGGGTCATTCAATCTTCAGATTTGATTCTCCTGAGTCTCAATCTTAAGATTTTTTTTTGAAAAAAATCCAACAAAATGTTGAAAGTTCATCGGTTAAGTTAATCGGTTGTGGTCTATTTAGTCTTCTTACAACCTTCAGGGAATGTTTGTTCTTCTTACAACCTTCAGAGAATGTTTCGTGAATTTTGTTTAGGACCCATCGCCTATTCACCTATTCAGATGTATGAATTGGTAACAAATCCAACTTTCCCCAATTTTATTTTGAACCGTCATATATTGATTGAAGTTGGTAAAAAGAAAAAGGAAAAAAAAAAAAAAAAACAGAATTTGTAGTGAAGTTGGTTAAGTTAGGTGTTCATTAACTTTGCCTACTGATTTATTATGGCCCACTTGAGTTTGTATTTGTCGAAGGAATTTCAATTCCGTGGGAATCAAATGAGAAACATCTGAATTCATAATTTCCTCTCTTTGATCAGATACTGAAGAGAGTTAGTAAAATGATTGACTGTCCACTGCAACTATGTTTTATACTTTTCTTTCAAGGTTTCATTTTGTGGTGTACATTGTCATTCCAACAGGATACTCATTCCTTAACCTTTTCTGTATGGTTTTTTCCAACAGGATAATCTCACCGTATCAAGTTGTCTCTGATAAACTATTTATCATCATCTCTGTCCTTCTAGGCCAGTAATTAGATACCGACATTTAGGTTTGATCCTCTCCATTAGAGGTGTAAGTCGAACTCTACTAAACTTGAGCTCAATTCAAGTTTTAAAAATTGAACTCAAGCTCGACTTTTAGAAAAAACAGTTCGAACTCGAACTTGATTTACAATAAAAAGGCAAAATAGATTGTCTAGTTTACTGGCTCAAATTTCAAGCTTGAGCACATATAAAAGCTCGTTTACTATTATCAAACTGACTCACAAGACTTACCATCAAGCCACATTCTCGAATTCAATTCGTGTATTAAGTGAGTCCAATAAGCCGACTCGAGCTCGACAAGGTTAAGCTTGTTGAGCAAATTTGAACAATTTTTTTTTTCAATTCATGCATATGACATTTGTTCATTTTCTTTCATGATTTTTGACAATAAGACTGATTAATCAATACAATTAACTGTTGGTTTTTAACTGCTAAATTAGTTTATTTTCTTACTATTTTCAATTATCGGTTTCTGAAGACTGTAATAATCATCATTTTAAAGATGATAAATCACTATATCAAGCTTGTTCCCTTATGACTTTGACAAATTTGTAGTATATTTTAAAGAAACTCATTACAACTTTTACAAATGAAAACAGTAGTACAATGCAGTAAGTTACAAAATTCCAAAATAAAATCAAATTTGAAGTGCTAACCTCTGATTTAGCAGAAAAAACCATGATTTCGTGAGGCAACAGTATTTTTTCAAACGGAACTTTGGCTTTGAAGTTTCTCATTCTTTGCACATTCCTCCTATAAATTGAGAGCTTTATTAACTAAGCAAAGCTACAACATTGTCACATAAATGTGTATATACAAGTTTTGTTTTTTGTCCAACAGAAATTTCCTTGCACATAATGCCTTCTCTCACAATGAAATGAGGTCAGTTCTTACTCCCCAAGAGTTTGAAAAATGGATAGCAAAACAATTTCTACTCTTAGACAATATTATTTCTGATGGTGTTTGTTAAATCATAATGCAATTTCTGCATTGCTAACATATCACCGGTAATAAACTTAAGCAAGAATATTTCATACATGAACAAGGTTGAAATGAAAATAGTGCATGGCATTGATCAGCAGTGTGCATATGTTATAAACACCACGAAGTCTTAAGGGTTTTAAAATATGACAGAGGTGATTAATTGGAATTTCCTGATAAACTACATCCACAAAGGATAGATATCCAAGTGGCGGTATAGAACACTTTGTTTAAATATTTTTCTTCAGAGTACTATTTACTGTTATGTGTTTGTAATAATACCAATTCTATCCAGAGTGAAATAGAGAAAACAAGGATTACCTGCAAAGCTTTTAAGAGAGCATAGCAGTCCCTTTGCTCTGCCATTGCTACAGCATACTTTTTCTTGAGAGCATCACAAGCTTTCTGCTCTTCTTGAAGCCCAACTTGCACCTTTTGTAACTTCTGTAAGATGGATTCAGCAGTAATTATCTCTTCTAAAATTTGAAAGCATGTCCACTAAAGCATAAACATAAGTTGAACATGAACTGCCAGCGAAAGTAATATGAATATGCAACCTCACTAATTTTCTTATGGGAAAATGTATACTACTCATGAAATGGACAATAATAAACATCTGGTGGTAGAGTAAGCCAAATTAGCTTCATGCTTTGACAGGCATTGAGTTGATAGATTAAACCTTTCACAAACATTTGATGTCTAAACATTTTTCCAAAGTTCATATATAGGAGAAAATCACAATCACCTGCTGGCTTCCCTTCGCAATTCCTTCCATGGAATTAATCAGCTTCATGCGGCCATCACTACTTGTAAGGGCATCCTGAAACTGTGAAGTTAAACATACAAAGCAAATCAACGTCCTTGAGAATTAATGAGTCATAGACAACCATGTGCACCACATATTCCAGTGTATAATCCAAGTTTTTCAAACTAGATGATTTAAATAAGTCTCCAGTATCTCAAAGAAAAGCTGGTGATTAGGTTTCAGGTGTTTGCACAAATTATGAGAATTCTGTGCAATTAAAAGGAAACAATAAACACGGCTTCTTTTGTTACTCTGGCATCATATTACAACAGATTATATCATTCCAATTACCAACCCATTTCTTTATTGTTAAACTGAACTGAGAAATTAGTCAGAAAAATCAAATCCTAAATTAGGGCAACTACCAGAAGATAAGGAGGAAAGCAGACAAAAAAGGAATTAGCAAAACATCATCAGACTGCCTGCCTTAGAAGACTGTCATCCTAAATGGAGACTGCCTGCCTTTGAATGATACCTGTGAACTTATTGAGTTCAACAAGGAGGTTTCCTTTAGCATTAGTTCCTTAATCTCCAAAAGAGCATTATAGGTTGCATAATACTTGCGCGTTTGACGGTGCTTTTCCTGAACATTAGCAAAGTGAGAATACGAGATCTTGTCACTAAAGGAGCCAAGCAAAGATAGAATCAGTAGAATTTTGAAAACAAGGCCACTAAACCACATATCGCATCTGAAACCTGGATATGAACATTCAGCTCTGAAAAACAACGCTCATATCTGAAAATAGAATATCACATTGTACAGTTAAATTAGATAGCAAGTATGCAAAAATCTGAATGCATGCATTATTTTATTCTTCGTCGATTATTTATAACGGAGTGAAAGATTGAAAATTTAACTAACCATATAATGAATATGATAAATCCTTCACAATCAATATAGTAATATACATGCCATTCTACAAAACATTTCATTTAAGTTGCTGCCAGATGGGCCTGTGCAAGTCCTGCTTCCACATCTCTGCTAAAGAAGTAAGAATGGTGGGTAAGGGCCTCTTAAATGTGAAAAATGCTAATGGATAGGCGGAGAATTTTGATACATTTTTGAACAATATATGCATATCTCCCCCCCCCCCCCCCGCTGCCAGAATGAGGCATGTGCAAAGTCCGCTTCCACAGCTCTGCTAAAGAAGTAAGAAGGTGGGGTAAAGGCCTCTTAAATGTGAAAAAATGCCTAATGGTATCAGGCCGGAGAATTTTGAGTACATTTTGAAACAATATAATGCAATCTCCCCCCCCCCCCCCCCCAAAGGAAAAAAAACAAAACAGAGTTAAAAAAAAAAAAAAAAACAAAACACAACTGCTCCAGAAAAGGTGAAACGAGGAAAGAAAAGAAAAGAAATTAAGGCTGCATTGATGAAATGGAATGACCAGCAATGCAATTGTAAGACAACCAACCAGATGACAAGACTTCTAAAGCAAAGCTGAGCCCCTGGATTGCAAGCCCTGATGTCAAGCAGATATGGAAAAGAAAAGTTGTGATAGCTTAAGTTGGCATGATTGAGGTGAAGATGAGAAACTGTAATACAAAAACAGGCAACTGCAGTTGCAACTTAGAGCATCAACTTCAGTTAACTACTGAGACAAAAGGGAGAACAGAAGTGTAACAAGACCTAAAGGAATTGTTTTCTGTATAGTCAATCAAGAATTGACACACGAACACACAGGTGTAGGCTACTATAAGGAAACTAGGCAGATTCTGCTCCTACAATCAAGCTATCCTAACCCCTATAATCAAGAGCTACTAATTTCCTTTTATATACACATACATTAAATTAACATTTCCCTCAAGCTGGAGCATAGAAGTTAATCATGCCCAGCTTGTTACAAATGTAGTCAATTTGTCACAAGTAAAACTTAGAGCATACTTCACTAAGCTACTGAGACAAAAGGGAGATCAAAATCAATAATGCAATATGCATGAAGAGAACGAAAAAGGATAAAATAGTCAATGATTTAATCAAGATGTGGATCTCATGAAGCTTGAAAGAAGAAATGTAAGAGAAGGTTGTTAAGGCTGTATTTGATTGATTATATGCAAAAACGTGGTGTGATATAAATAGCTCCACAATCCAATGGGACATAACCAATTTCTTGAAGCTCATCACTTATCAATTATTGGAGTACTACCAATCCAAAAATAGCATAAACTCCTAGTACCAGACATTCCAACTAAAAACAAATTAGTTACCATAGGATTTGAATTAAATAGTCTAGTTCTCCATGATTAACATGAACAACATGAAAATTACTCATATAGCAAGCCATCAGTAAAATTGCAACATCAATAATCTTCAAACTTCATACAGAATTCAAAACACCAATGTAGCTATTAGAAAACAAGGTGAAAATCTTCGGCAAGCAAACAAAGAAACGTACTGAATGAGTTCTGATTGGGTTGGAATGTCATCAATCTGCCGCTTTATTGACAGTAATGCCCTTAGTTTTGCTGCTAGCTCCTGCCAAAATAATCAAACTAATACCCACAAAGAATTGGAGATCAAACTAGTAAAGAAAGAATAATTTTTTTATTTTTTTAGGCTACTTCCTAATCCTAACAGGAATAATATCTTACCTTCTTTGCAGAGTTCAGCTGCTCCAGTGACTCCGCCAATAAGCAATCAAGATTCTTAGAGAGAGCTTCACTGTCACAAACATTCTCTATTTTTTCCTGCAATTCATAGACCTCTCTTTCCAATTGAGAGCGCTTTGCGTTATAATTAGATTGCAAAACAGATTCTTGCCTTTCCAAAGCCTTGAAACACACCAAAAAAAGAAGGAACAAAATTCAAAAAACGCTAGAGCTTTTCAAATTTCAATTTCAATACAAAGAATTGAATATTGTTTCTATTAGCACCTTCAATGAGTACAAAAGACGGACCAATTTCTGCACCGCACCATTAACAGTTTCGTCTTCTTCGATTCTTGCGCGCAATTGTTGCAAATCATTCAAGAGATTTGCCTTTCTCTCATTCTGTAGATCTTAAGAAAATTAAGAAAGAAAATATAATCATCAAATAATCCCTAATTATAAATAATGCTAACCTGTTTATCCAAATTGGAAGTCAATTTCTCTATTGAAGCTCTCGCATTGTATAGTTCCTCTTCTTCGAATGATTGTTCAGTGGAAGTTAGCTCATCCAGCTTGCTATGTTCTTTCAATTGTGGAAAAGCCATTAACTAATCAAGGTTTTGGATTTGGGCAGACTGAAGAAGATGATCTTACCCGACCGTCCGACGTAAAGAACAATATTTGCACAATTAAAAAAAACGGCGTCGTGTCAAAATTAAGTTTGGGATTTAATTTAGAAAAGGAAAAAAAAAAGACAATTTAATTTTCATTATAAAAGTTATCGAATTCATATTTTTAAATTTATGGAGTCTTAAATACTGAGTAAAATTTTTTAAATAATTTAGAAACTACCTATTAGAATTTTCTTGTAAAAGTTTATTTTCACCACAAAAGAATTTTTATTTGCGTAGATGAAAATCTAAAGTTTAGTGTTAGAGCAATAAAAATTTAAGAGTTCTAAATGATTTTCATTTATCATTAATTACTATAGCATGATTGTAATATCTTATAACATTATGAATTTTTGTATATGAACTTTGAATAGGCTACTAATTTGTAATCTTCAAAAAAGATTAATTTAAAAAAAGAATAGACTTTGAACTCAACTACTGATGATTTTTTTTGAATTTAGTATTGTTATTCAGGACTGTCGAGCTATTTTAAGTAGATGTTTATTGATTTCTTTAGCTTGGATTAATAGGAGAGCTGATGTAAGGGCTCATACTCTTGCTAGCTAGATGTCACGGGCCTAGAGTCTCGCGCAACACTGCGCTCGTGCGGCGCCCCGGAAGCCCTCCCGCTTGGCTCCGAGGCAAGCCTCGCCATACCGTACCACACTGGTTTCGCCCTGCCATGGGCTCATCAGGAGAGCAGCCTAGCTCTCAACCAGTTGTGCCCCAGAGGCACATACCCCGCCTGCACGCAGACTTTGCATGGGGTAAGTACCACTAGGGTAGAACTTTCATTAATCCGCTAAGCCGCCCCAACCCACGCAGGTTGAAACGCAGCTAGGTATGCTCTTCGATGCTGGCCTAACACGGTCACGGAATTTGTCCGTGACATCCTCCCCCACTCAAAACCAGGCACGTCCTCGTGCCGAGGGAGGTCGACTTATGCTGGCCTAACACGGTCCACCCGGAATTTCCGTGACATCCTCCCCCACTCAAAACAAGGCAACGCCCGTGCCCGAGGAGGTCGACTCGCCCTTGGGACCGTTCCTTGCTTTACGCCCCACTTTTGGACCCACGTGGATGTCTCTGGGCACTACTCAGCCATGCTACTCCCGCGTACACATGCTCCGATACACATTCTCGGTGCCTTGAGGTCTACGCCATTTGCTTTGACCACCGCCAATGCCTAGGGCGACTGCGCCACAAAACCAGGCACGTCCTCGTGCCGAGGGAGGTCGACTCGCCCTTGGACCGTCCTTGCTTTACGCCCCACTTTTGACCCACGTATGTCTCTGGCACTACTCAGGCCATGCTTACTCCGGTACACATGCTCCGATACACATTCTCGGTGCCTGAGGTCTACGCCATTGCTTTGACACCGCCAATGCCTAGGACTGCGCCATTGCTTCGACATCGGATGCAGGAACGATGCCTAGGACTGTGCCATCGCTTCGACATCGCCCGAAGATGTGATGCTTAGGACTCCGCCATTGCTTCGACATCACGAGGAGCTGTGGTGCTTAGGACTCCGCCATTGCTTCGACACCACAAGGAGACAAGACACAGGGCGGTACTTTTGACTCTTCCCTGGAGTACGTGTTTAGTCGGCTAGGTATTGTAACGTGAAGCAAGTCTGCTCTGATACCACTCTGTCACGGGCCTAGAGTCTCGCACAACACTGCGCCCGTGCGGCGCCCTGGGAGCCCTCCCGCTTGACTCCGAGGCAAACCTCGCCATACCGTACCACACTGGTTTCGCTTTGCCATGGGCTCATTAGGAGAGCGGCCCAGCTCTCAACCAGTTGTGCCCCAGAGGCACATACCCCGCCTGCACGGAGACTTTGCATGGGGTAAGTACCACTAGGGTAGAACTTTCCTTAATCCGCTAAGCCGCCCCAACCCATGCAGGTTGAAACGCAGCTAGGTACGCTCTTCAATGCTGGCCTTAACACGGTCACGGAATTTGTCCGTAACATAGAGCTTCCTATCGTTTTGCTCATTCTCGTATTTGAGACACTATTTTGGATACGATTTTATCCGTATGGTTAAAATGATGAATATTTTCCTTTAAAAAAAATAGGCTACTAATTTGTTATATTATTGTAGGAAGTAAAAATAAAAAATAAAAAAAACAAAGAAAAATGTTGTTGGGCTAGCTTAAAGATGAAAAAGACACATAAAAATGGCTAAATGGTTCGATTTGGAGCCTTATCCAAATCCAATTTATAATGACGGTTATTAAGAAAATTGAAATTGAATTAAACCTTGAATGTACTCAATTGAATCGAATCAAATTTATAAATTGCAATTTAATTTGCATAGTATACTTTTAAATATATATGATTTCTCAAATTTCACTTCTTAAAATCCATAACCAAATTGGTCATAGTTGATATATAGAGTATAGTTGAGTAATAGCATGTGTGTGTCTATGTAATATGCTTGAAAAAAGAAAATTAGATTATTAAAAGAAAATCGAATTTACTTGTCTCGCTTGTGTCTCACCCAACTTGAAGCTGAACGAGTAATAGATGAATTTTTTAAGTGTATAAAACTATAAATTAGTTAATTAAGTTGATATTCAAAAATCAACTGCAAAGCAAAATTAATTGATTAAAATGTCTTTTACAAAACATTAATTATATTTACCCTATTAATTAAATAATTAAGTAATCAAATGGCTGCATATATCTCAAGAGCATCATCACTTAACTTGGAAACAAAGTAAGAAATGTAATCTGCAAAAATGAAAGGGCGGTAGAGAAGAGGATGGTCCTTGTCAACAAATTCTCGAGGCACTTCAATTTTTGCTTCCTCTTTTGGCATTGTAAATAGTCCACAAGAGAACCTGTCTTCCTCCCCACTTACTACCACCCTGTGTCTTGCTGCTTCAAGCCTTCCATTGCTCCATACCTACCAATCATTTATTTATTTATGTACCACCAAAAATTTCAATTCGTAATCTTTCAAAAACTTGCTTATTCTTCTAACACTCTTTTGATTTCTTTTATCATTTTCATTAGACATTAATAATTATTGATTGTTAAAGAAATAATAAATATAAAGTATGGTTCGTAACTGTTAATTTTGAATTACCGTTAATCTGCTTAAAATTTAGTACCATACCAATTTTTTTTAAAATATTCATATTCAAACCCGTTAATAATTTTACTATTGGTGTCATTCCAAACTCATTTTACTGTAAATAAATTATAGTGGTTTGAGTAGGTATGACCACGGTTTCAGAACCGACTATTTCAGTTTCAAAACCACCAGCTCTAGTTAAAAACTAGGTGAAATCGAAATCAAACACGCTTTTAGCCGTTTCTAAGACAATGTTGAAACCGTCAGTTTCAGTTTTTTTTTTCAGTTTCCACTGAAATTAAATAATATAGTTTAAACTATTTAAAATATTTTTCTAGATTTATAACTTAAATCATAATAATAAATATTGCTTCTAAAATAAAACTAAACTAATTTAATAAAAATTCTTAAATGCTACTTTAAAGATTATAATAAAATATAAAAAAATAAGTTTACAGTTTCTTTAAGAACATATTTTTCACGGTTTTGAACCAGAACCATCAAAACCACCAGTTTTGATTTCAAAAAACGAAGAACCGAAATCGAACCTTAAGTGCACGTTTTCAGTTACGGTTTGAAACCAGAATCGAATCTTAAGTTCACGGCTTCGGTTATGGTTTAAAATCAAAATTATTGACCACAATTTAATGCTGGTTTTGACAAGTTTTTTTCAAATTTGAAACCAAACCGTGGTCATCTCTAGGTTTGAGTTGCTAGAAAAACCTACCCCTCCATCCTTAAAATAAACCAAAGAGAGGGCTAGTCATTTACCTTTAGGGCTTCACCAATAATGACAAAGAAAGCATCTTGAGGAACCATTGCACAAACCCAATTGCCATCTTTGGTTTGAACCTGGAGACCCTGAACTTCATTTTGACATAAGATGGTGATTGCATTTTTGTCGGTGTGAGATCGTAGAGCAATCACCGAATCGTCACCGTTTCGTGGAGCTATATACTTCATTACACGAAACAGACTTGTGCTATCCTGAACATGCAAATCATAGTGATTTGCCATGCCAAAGCTTTCGAATATCATTTTCAATACCGCTAAATTCAGCTCCAGCATTTCTGAGCTCATCGTATGGAGACTCTCACTATTCACATAATAAGTAAAATGAAAATTAACAAATATATATATATCAAATAATTTCACAAGATGTAAGAATGAATTTCTCCGCCATTAAATTTTAAAATCATATATTAGAATAAGTATAATTTCTTTTTATTGGTTAAATAAGGACAAAAGAAACAAAACGCACGAATTAATAATAAATATATGTTCCTTCAAGACATGCGAAACTATATAATCTACATAAAGTTTCACAATACACAACTAATGTGTGATAACAAAGGATTAATGTAAAGACTAATGACTAAGATCTTGTTGTGCAATAACTATAGCTTTTAGAGGTTCAAAGTTTTTTTTATAAAACATTCAACACTTTAACGTTTAGCGTTTAACATTTAACTTTTAATTAATTAATTAATTTTTTTTACTATCATACCCATTGTGTTTTTTTTTTTTTCAAATTCAATTAATTAAACAGTTAATATATTATTATAAATTAAATAATTATTTTTACCAAATACTTTTAATTTAAACTGCTATATAAATAGCTACTAGTTAAAGTATTTATTTGATAAAATTAGCTATTTTAGTTGTGTATTTTAGTAGCATTTGCGTAACTTTTCATAAAATATTAAAAGTTAAGCGTTATAATGATTTGATCATTTATAAAACGCTACCTTCATATTATGTTATTAAAACCGTAAAAAATAGTGTTTCGCATTTTGATTTATTTAAAATATTATTGTCATAGGCTAACAGATCAACTAAGAGCTAATATTACTCAACAAATCTTAATTATTTTATTTTAATGCGTCATTTGTATTTATCCCAATAAAATTTGATGATTGGGAATTGAAATTTGAATACTATATGGAGCATTTATTACTGAGATATTGATACCGTACTGCAACTACAGGAAAGATTATTAATTGAGAGAGCAGTGGTTTTTAATTGAAGTGCTACTGTTACAAAAAAAAAGCTGACTCTCACTATATCTCTCTGTTTAGATTTTCTGCAACGACATGTGCAGTTACAATTATAACAATAATCATTTCAAAGCCACTGTAATAAATTCAATCTGTTATAAAAGATAAGTCTCAATTTATTAGGGCATTGGCAGCTTGTGAGAGAGTTTGGTAGCACCCATTATACACTTCTCCAACTGGCCTTTTTTTTTACTCTAAAATAGAAAAATACCTTTTATACAAGATACTATTTATGATAAATAATTGTTAGGATTTGAAATTGAATTTTGATAAACTCAATATTGATTTAGATTGATCTTTCAGAATCTTGAAATTTTTCTTTTTAAATTGATGTTTATATTCAGATTTATTAATTGGTAACAACGTTAGTGAAGAAATGACTCGAACTGATGTGAATAAACTAATCAGACAATGGTTTTATTAAGTAATAACTGTTTAACGTTACTTTGTTTCAGTGTTCGGCAATATAGTATTTAAACTAGCTCAAACATCTAACCGTTATTAAAATAATTAAACGCTTCCAAAACAGCTAATTTTGCCGAATATCTTATTGGCTCCTATATTCATAATTTAGATGCATATTAATTTGATTTTGATGTAGAAGGTGTGATGTGTATATATTTTGGCTGGAAACTGTAGATTGTGCATAGTGTGTTACAGGTTGGGAGACGAATAAAACATGTGAAAGGCTGGCTTTGCAAGAAATTACAAGGCAAATGATAGAATGTAGAAATAAAGTCAGAGAAATATTAAGCATGCATGGTGAATAGGCACACCCCATAGAAAATGGCCAAAATAGAAACTATATGAAGAGGGACCATTTTGAAAAGGAATCATACAATGATATGCCCAAATATGGAACCATATGATACACATCCTCACACCAATGACCAAATCAAAACTTATTCAAAAACAAAAAATTTTAATAGATTTCACTAACAACTATTAATGTAAATTTACAATCAAAATTACTTTATTTAATTTCATGATTTGATCTATATAGATTGGTCAATGCATGAACATAAATTTTAACTTAACTAAAAATTATAATTAACTACTTTGGTGGAGGAGATTTGAAAGGATTGATTAAATAAGGTTCAAACCTGACGTAACTTTTCATATAGAGTTGAATTCGATAGCAGCTTTTTAAATAGCTTTTAGTGTCAAAAATGCATTATAGTTTCAATAACATAGTGTTCGAACTGAGTTTTAGATGTTGAAATAGTGTTTTATAAAAAGTTAACCAATATAACGTTTAGCTTTTAGCGTTTTATGAAAAGCTATTCAAACAATTAATAGATAAACATTATTAAAAAAGTTACTAGCTACCAGAACAGTTAATTTACCGAACAGACTCTTAGTAGGGTAAAATTTTCAAATTTTGAAAAATGTTAAAGATTTTCAATGTAGAAAAATAAAAATCAAATGTGAATTGTCTTACCAGAAAGTTGGATTTCCTTGTGGCCACATGAGGTTGGTGAAGGAGTGAACAGTGTCGAGATTGTGAGCATCATCAAGGCCAAAGCTCTCAGAGAAAGGAACAATGGGAGACATACCAGAATAGCTACGATAAGGCTTTGGGTTTATGTACTTAGCTTTCACTTCTTGAGGAAGATCAAATAGTGAGTTCATCCCCATAAATAAGTCTTCACGTAATTTTGCAGAGAGATTATCATACATTAAAATGAAGCAACCATGTCTTTCACATGCCTCTCTTACTTGCTTACACACTGTTCCCCATTTCTCACTTCCAATTTCTAATGCCTCTTTTGAAAAATCAAGAATTGGTATTTGAGCTTTTGCCATTTTTTGTTTCTCTCTCCCTCTGTGTTTTTGTGCTTCAAGTAGCAAAAGAAATTGGGTATTATATAAGGGGAAGGGAGATACATGTCTAAAAAATTGAAATTGGGTTTTTTTTTTTTTTTAGAAATATAAAATTGACCAATTGATATGGGCACCCTTTTGTGGGGTTTTTCTTTTCTTTCAATCTACGGGATGAATTGATTGGGAAAAAATATGCATGTAAAAAGACTAATTAGTGAGAGGTCTCGACTCCTCTCGTCCACAAGTGTTTTCACTATTTTAGTAAATTTAGAGAAAGGTTATCTTTATTGCGTAGCCATAATATTATTTCGACTAGTGGAATCTCTTAATGAAAAAAAATAATAATAATAGGTGTGAGTATATATGTTGAGGCATATGCATATGCAATAGTAACCCAACGGCACTAGGAGTGTTGGATTGGAGGTTCCACCTCTCATGCACAATCCGTTAAATTAGGGATTTGACAGAATTCCCATTGGGGAAATTCTCATTGCTTGCTAACTAGTCCTGCTTACACATATCAAACTTGAGGGAAAATAAATATTAGTATGCATAAATAATTAGAGTTAAAATTTTATTTTTTATGATCAAGCTCAATTTGAAGAAATATAAAAGGACTCAAATTTGACAAGATTTCAATTTAAAATTTTAATATTTTTTTTATTAATCTCAAACCAAAGCTCAAGTAAGACAGTAAAATAACAACAACTTATTAATTAGTATATATTTTATATATTTATAATATATATTATTAGTATTGCATAAATAATTAGAGTTAAAATTTTATTTTTTATGATCAAGCTCAAGTTGAAGAAATATAAAAAGACTCAAATTTGACAAGATTCAATTTAAAATTTTTAAATTTTTTATTAATCTCAAACCAAAAGCTCAAGTAAGACAGTAATAAAACCAACAACTTATTAATTAGTAATATATTTTAATATTTATAATAATATATATATACTATATATATATATATATAATATTGTAATTTAAAAAAAATTTGAAATGGACCAACTAAAAAGTCTTTAATAAAAAGTATATGTAAATACCAACTAAAAGTTTTAATTTAAAAATGTATATGTAAATATTTTATTACAAATATATATAACTATTTATATAAAGTTGGAACAAACCAAAAGTTTCAAAGTTGAAACAAATAAAACCTTTTCAATATTGACTTATCACTCTCATTTTTCACCATTCTATTTTTTTATTTTTTTAAAAAATTGAAATTAATTGAAAAAAAATTGATTAGATTATTCATTTACTTATTATATATTATTAAATTAATAAAAAATACCTTACATACTATGCTCTTCTTCATATCTATTTTTCCTTTAATCGAGTTTGGAATCCACAGTTTAATAAATATAGAAAATGAAGCCCATTTCTTTAAAATCCCACTATAGTAATGACAACAAAAAGAGAAATAAAATTATATTTTTATTTTTATTTTTTTCTAAATTGTTTTGATGGTTAGGAAATGAAGTTGTTATTGATCATTAGTTGCATATTTGAATTTTTAGTAGAAATAATTATATATACGAATATGTTTTTAGATGAAATTGTGACACTATACGTAGCCAAAGTGGATTTCGTTATATATATTTACTTGTATTTATTAATTTGTCAATAATTTTAATTTGAAAAAATATTTTAACATAATATAAATTTAGAAAATATAAAAAAGGTATAATCAATAATTAATATTTCAAAAAAAAAAAAGCTACATAAATATATAAAAGCTAAACGTGGTGAAATTTTAGAAACTCAATTTACTATCTTCTCAAAAATAAAAAATAAAAAGAAAAAAATTAATTTACTAAGTTGGAATTAAACTTAATTTTTCTTTTAAAAAGAAATTCATTTAATACAAAAGAATTAGTAATGATATTGAAAACTCAACTACCTTATATGTCATTAATCAATGGTCTTTTGTATCATTCATATTAAATGGTCTTTTCATATCTCTTTAGATGACTATATATTTTGTATGAAAGCTAAAACTTATTTGTTTGGAAACTTAATTTGTTAAGTTAGAATTAAACTTTTCTTTTTCTTTTTAAAGGAAATTCAATTAATGAAAAACAATTAGTAGTATATGTATTTTGTGTCATTAATTCATATATTGAAAATTAATAGCCTTTTATTGAAAGGGTAATTTCATATATCTTTAAATGATATTACCTCTGTTCCATAATATTTATCACATTTGAAAAAATAGTTTGTTTCAAAATACTTGTCACATTTGTGGTTTCAAAGGGTAATAAATATTTTTTTTTCATATTTATTCTTTGTATATTACCAATAATTATTACTTCAATTTAATGATTTTCTTAGAGAATTAGTATTAAATTAAAGGTAATATAGTCAAATTATCTAATAATTTATTATATTCTAGATAAATTTAATGATTTTTTTAAGAGACATTTTTTTTAAGAGACGGTCTAAATGTAATAAATAGAGAATTAGTATTAAATTAAAGGTAATATAGTCAAATTATCTAATAATTTATTATATTCTAGATAAATTTAATGATTTTTTTAAGAGACGTCTAAATGTAATAAATATTATGGAATAGATGGTAGGGATTGGTTGAGGTGCCCTTATAATAAATTGTTGCAAAAAGATATTTTGGATAGAGGGTAGGCATTTATGCATGGGAGAGAGAGAGAGAGTAAGTAGGAGTCTATGATTCCATATTATATCATTAAATGCAAATTACCAGAAGTGCAGAAGGGAACGCATTCTTTTTTAAGATTCTTTGGACACAAACAATTATGAGTTTTGATTGTTTTCTTATTAGGTCTGTTTCCAAGGACACGTTAAACCTAAAACCCTGCTATAGGTAAGAGGAGGACATGTCATCCCTTAACCTTAACCCTTGTCTTCTTAACAATACATGAACCTTTTCATAAGGGTTTAGGTCTTCTTCTCTTCAATAGAAGAGTTCAAACCATAATTTGTAAAGAAATAAATTAATATAAAAATAGGTTAAAGAAAGAGTAAGATGTTAAGAATCTCAATCGATTAAATACTAAATCCACAAAACATGTAAGGAAGATAAACCAGCTAGCCTGCTAATTGATTGGTATCGAACTTTTAGCATTGGTTGTTCCAAACCGAAATAAACCCATTAATATGATCTCTATTATTTTTATTTAATTTAATGAATATTTCAAATTTTCTTAATATAATATGATGTGGAAATGAGTAATGGAGCTATGTTTTGAGTGAATAAAATCATCAGTTGGGAGTTAGGAGAGCAGTAGGCACATGAATGAGTGTATTCCTCAGTTGGTCTGTTGAAAAGGTAGCACTCCATGTTATCTCCAAATTCTAGAATATTAATTGCATGATTTTTTTGGCTTTTTTTAGACGGAAAATTTTTGATGAGGGGATCACAAAATTTAAATTTAAGGCCAAGACTGAAATTTTCTTTAAAAAAAAAAACAGTTAGGTTAACTTTTACGGGCCGAGGTTACTTCAACTTAACACCAATTGTACCTTATCGTATTCAATTTTTGATTATTTTGTAAATATCCGAACTTCAATTTATGCAATAATAAAATGATTCTTACTCAATTTTAAACTAGATTTTATTAGCACACAGTCTAGTGATAAGTGCATATACAACCCGATAATAGATCCGAATTCAAACTCTCCCTCCTCCAATATTTCTTTAACTATAATTATTTTCACCAATTTAGTGAATTAAGGAGATGATTATCTTTATTTTCACCTTTCTGTTGCTTATTTTTTCTCTCATTCTGCTTCTTCATTACCATAGTTAGTTGCAATCGACCTGCCACTCAACTCCCCCTCAAACTAATGACTTGCAACTAGTATCGTAGAAACCCAAGTCGAATCACTTCTGTTTGGTCATGTTGATGGCAATAAAAATATAGCTCCTCTAAAAAAGCTCACAATTGACGATAAACCCATCTTTTTTTTATATATTAAGATAAACTGATTCTACAATTGTGAATTTATAAATTGGAATTTAAATCCAACCTAGAGTTTATTTAATTAAATAAAAGAACAAATACCATTGTTATAGTGAGAATTTTAATTCTTGAAGACCAATTAAGATATATTGGTTGTAATTGGGGAAGCTAGAATTAGGATATTGAGATAGTTTTTGCATGTCATATAGGTTGTACTTGTAAAGACTTATTAATGGATAGGACGGTGAAAGATTGGGATAGCCGGTGGATGATGTTTTGGAGCAACAGAATATAGCGCCCACAAACTGCAAAAAAATTAATTTTGATGGGACTTTGTTCTAAGAATTTTGTTGATTGAAACTACAAGTCGGCAACCCACATGCCTCTCTTACTATAACCAGCTACTATCATATATAAATTTTAAAATTCATGTAATAAAATTTTAATCCCAATATGAAAAGAGTTTTAAGGTTTGAAATACCATAAAATATACCTACAGTGAGGGATGAACAGTCTTATCTGTAACTAAGCTCCGATTAAGCGATTTCTGGTTACAGGATCCGAATACCGATGGTTTATACTAAAAAATTTTAAATTTCATGTAATAGCATTCATCATTTTTTTTTATGGCATTTGGAGTGAGAATACTTCAAATTTTAAAATTAACGATAATTACAAATTAATATAAATTTAGAATTTGAGCTAAATATATAAATTTATTCATGTACTTTTTGTGACAAATTTTGTTACATTTTAAATTTTATTGTGAATACAGCGTTCCTCCTAAAATTACAAATTTTGATTAAAATTCACGCTTCTTTACATTTTGCCTCAACAATAGCTTTAAGGTGTTTAATTTTTATATAAAAATATTGATTTGATTTATAGTTAATATATTTTATATTTTTCAACTATTGAATAAATATTTATTTTATATAATTTTAAAAATTAAAAGATTCAATAGAATATATTGTAAATTGAAATATTTAATAACCGCAATTTTATTAATTGAATTATTTACCAAATGAAAGTAAAAATTAAAAGCATCAAGAAAATTTCTTTTTATGAATACAAGGGGGTTAGATTTATGAATTTATTCTATAAAATTGTATTTCTCTCTCTTCCATTCCACTCCTAGGTAGGGGGCCATTGGCAAAATTTGGTTAACTAGCTAGGTACTGGCCACATATCTTGTGATCATCAGTTAGGATGTGACTTCAATTATATCATTTCATTAGAGAAAGGTTTAAAATGTCTAATCATGGTTAAATACCTAATTGATATTTTGACTAATTGCACCCAAAATAAAGTCCTAGAAATGATTGTATTAAAATTAAAAAATATATATTCACCTTGAAAATTAAAAAAAAATTATATATTTTTTGACTTATGATGGCATAATGTCAAGCCCCGCACAACAAGCAACCAGAAATACAAGACAGCCTCTACAATTTATAAGGAAGGCTATAAATTAGGTCGCCATAATGGACTAAAACCTGTGAACTCTCTAGTCCAAAATTGGAGGTCTAAGCTCGCATTCTAGAAAACTCCACATTACTCCACCTAAAAAATATTTTGTGTAATGTCTACATAATTCTAGAATTTTTCATGTAATCTAGACCGTTCATTTTTATAGGTAAATCTTAGCCGCACATTAAGGAGGTGGAAATGACTATAAATACTACCCCCTCACCTCACTTGTAAATCATCCAAGCAAATACAAAGCATTTGAGCAATAAGAGTTCTTACAAGCTCTTTTGTGTTCTCTTCTCTACTTAACTCACATTTTCGCTCCAACACAACTCCAAAACTTATTTAGCGCATCCTAAAGCCTCAAGAGCGACTAAATGCAACACAGAAAGGTATAGCAAAATCTTATCTCCGTGGCAATAAGCTTACTTTCTTTTGCTCTTTGTAGATCCATGGCATTGATATTAGGGAAAATTGCTTTTTTATCTTTATATTTTATTGACTTTACCTTGATATTTTTTTAAATATATTATTTGACCTTTATATTTCATCTTTTGTTATACTGTTAAATCGTTTTATCAATTTATTTTATCTTTTCTATCAATTATTATTAATTAATTTTGCAAAATATATAGACAAAATAGTAAATAAATACAAAAAATATTAGTTAATTTAATATAAGGACAAAATAATAATTTAGTGATGAAAAAGTATAAAAAATTAACAAAATAATATAACAATATGACCGATAAACAAAAAAAACAAAGAAGTCGGACATCAATTTATGCATTAAGCTAAATAAAATATATATAATAGTTGGTGGTTAGCAATGATAGAGCCTTAAATTTTTCATGGGCAAAAATATATTTGTCATCTCATACGATGAATATAAAATAAACATGATTAAAAAAAGGCTAAAAATAGTGTAATTACATAAACAAATATATTATATGTGGTTAAAATTTTTTTAATGAAAATAAATAAAATAATACAGATTTTTTAAGTATACATAATGACTTTCAATAAGAAAAATTTTTTTTCTAAAATTTAGATATTAGAAATTACAATGAAAACAACTTTATAGTATTTAGAATTTTAAATATGTGGTTGAAATTTTAAAATTCAGTCAATTCGATTTCATATTATTTTCTAAAAATTATTAAAACAGAATCATGAATTGTAATATTAAATTCATCTCTTTAAATAAATTATATATCGTGTGTTTATTTTGTATTAACTGTTAATTCCATAAATTAGTACACATCTTTAGAAGCTAAAAAAATTTTACAATACTTAAGGAATTATACTGTCTTTTCTACGTGATGGAAACAATGGGCGTAGTCTCGTGGACTGATATATCTTCAAGCAATGACGGAGGCAGAGGTGGCGGGATGGCCGCGGCCTCCCTAGCTCCATTTTTTTTTTTTTTTTACATTTAAAAATTTTATTTTAAATTTTTGTCTTAGTTAATTTTATAAAAAATTTTCTTTTGCCTTCTGGCATTGCCACCGTGGCTGTTCAAGGTTTTTTGAAAGTAATGCACTAGCTAGAATGAAGTAAAAGTTTAGGAACAAAGAATAGTATAATAACCGGTTTCTACTCTCTACAATAAAGCCATGTATGTGCTATTTCTTTTAGGCATCCATTTTAGTTCCGAGGATGAGAGGTTTTCTACCTTATTATTGTGTATTCCATAATATTATTTCGGTCTATTAGACTTTTTAATAAATAGAAAAAAATATTTATCTATACTGTGTATATATTCATTCTTCATACACTCAATTTATTTAAAAAAATTTATCACTCTTTATTAATATTTTATTTCTTTTTTTTGGGTGAAAAGACTCATATGCACGCTAATATATAATTTAGTAATAAATGCATATTTGACTTGACAATAAATCCAGAGTCAAATCCTTCATCCCTTATTTGTATAAATATTGCTGCTAGTCTTCTAAAGGAATGCTTATTTTAATATTTGGAATGTCATCTCAGATTGCTTGTATGATTTTTATCCTCTTGGTCAATACATTTTTATGTATGCTCAAAGGATTTTTTTTTTTTTTTTTTTTAGTCAAATTCCTTTCATCCTCTTATTTGTATAAATATTGCTGCTAGTCTTCTAAAGAATGCTTATTTAATGATTTGGAATGTCATCTCAGATTGCTGTGATGATTTTTTTATCCTCTTGCGTCAATACATTTTTTATGTATGCTCAAAGGATTTTTTTTTTTTTTTTTTTTTTTTTTTTTTTTTTTTTAGAAGATGCTGAAAGGATCTTAAAACTGCTAATCAATATTCTTTCTTTTTTTTTTTTTTTTTTTTTTTGAAGAGTTTATAAAAATAATAGAGGGAAAGGGATTCCGGCATCACTAGTACTGCTATTATATGCTAAAAACAAGAAATTCAATCCAAGAATTTGAAGAGGATGACATAAAAGCTAATCAAATAACCAATAATAATGTAATTAATAAATAAGTACAAATTGACAATATGTTTATTTTTTTTTTTTTTGAGTGTTGAATAAGTAAAGGGCTTATAATTATTGAAATGGCATTCAAAATGAAATAATATAATTTAAAATTTAGTTATTGCTTTGAAATTAATTATAAATTCATTAATTCCAAAAAAAAAATGATAACTTTATGAATAATAGGAGAAAATTAAACCTTCTAGAAATAGCTTGTCACTTTCATGATTCGTATTACTTGGCTTCAATTTTCTTCATGCTTCAATTTTCTTCATGACATGATTAATTAATATATATTTAATATTATTATGAGAACATGCCATTGTGCAAATGGTTTAAAGATGACTCATCCTAATATAGACATCTTACCAAAGAACCAGTAGATGATTTAATATGATTTGGACTATTTTCTTATAATATAAGGTCTTTTTCTTTTTCTTTTTTTTAAGTTCATCAAAATTTTTAAATCAAAATGAATCAATTTAATTTTGATGATTCAATTTAGTTTGGTTTTGATTTTGTTACATTTTAATTAGTTCACTTCATTTTAGTTTTGGTAACAAAAAGAATAAATTAACTAAACCAAGTAGAACAGGATTATATGTATATAATATTAAAAATATTTTTATCTATATATATAATATATATATATATGATATGTATTCGAAATTTTCCTAGATAATCTTGAGTCACAAAATTCTTTGCGGCAAGCGTTATTTTTTGGTGGCTTTGTGACAGACCAGATTCGGCTTTGGGTAAGCTTAGGCGCTTGGTACCACAGGTAATTGTATGGTCTGTGTAGAGAATGTATTGTAAGTGTAATTGGGATAATAAAGCTTGTTTTCCAGACCTCCTTTTACAAAATATCAGTAGGTTGCTATTAAACTAGAGCATTGCCAATTCTGGTAAGAGATTTGCAGCAACTTGTCCAGCAAAAGATGATTGCCACTTCATTTCGGCTTCTTTTGACCAACAAAAATTAAAACCAATGATTATTACTTGGATTCGACCTAGGCAAGATTGCTATAAACTGAATATTGATGCGTCTTTCAATAAATTTTCAGCAGCGGGAGTGCTATCCTCCGAAACAGCCATGGTAATAACAGCCATGTAATTTTGTGCTGCCGCTTGTTTTCAATTGATGCCGGGACAGTTTATGATGTAGAGCTTTGAGGCTTTGATTTGGTGGCTTTTTCTTGGAGTATTTTGATAAAGGTTTTTTTATCCCCTTCAGGTTGGAAAATGATTGTCTGAAAACTAGGTTGCTCATGTTAATCGGGCACAGTGCGATTAGAGCAGGTCCTTTCGGTTTTTGCTGCGTGTTGCCTGACTCTATTGCATCTTCACTCTTTCTTCCATTCATCACATATATCTGTGAAGAAATCCATAGTCGTGAAGGAAATCAAGTCGCACATCTTTTGGCCACTCATCATAGACTTCATCATACTTCTCTTTCTTTTATCTCTTTTAATTCTTTGCCTCATTTGATTAAAGGAGTTGTATTATTGGAGGCTATAGAGACTAAATATTTGAGATATAAATAAAATAAAAATATCTTTTGCTAAAAAATATATATATATATATATATTCGAAATTTTGATTATTTTGTTTCTATTTTCTTTATAAATAGTTTGTAGGAAATTGAAAGCAAGAAAGGTAGTCATGCAACCGTAGATATGTATATTAATGTATATATAATGACGGAGGGAGGGGTGCCAAGGGTAAATCCCTGCCGCTAATCCAAATTTTATTTTTAAAATTTACTCCTAAAATAAAATGTTAATAATTTTCAATTTTATTTACAAAATAGTGATTTTATGAATTTTGCGTCTCTTTAGTTTTGAAAATTTTTTTTGGCCCATTCTACCTTTTATTTCCGGCTATAAATAGTTGAAAGTACCTGCTATTAACAGTCCTGAAAAGTTGACAGAAATGGCTATGGCATCTCAAAATCAGGTTCCTATCATCAATCTTTCAAGAACTTCACTACATTGTGTGCGTGGAGAACAAGAGTGGCACAATTTATGCAAAAGGGTTAGGGAAGCTTGTGAAACATTTGGGTGCTTTGAGGTGGTTTACGATCAAATATCCCTGCAACTAAGAGATGAGACCTTCGAAATGGTCAGGCAAGTTTTTAGTCTTCCATCAGAGACAAAGAAGAAAAATTTTAACCCAAAGCCTTATCATGGGTATGCAGGGGGGTACCCAGTAATTCCTTTGTATGAGAGCTTAGGCATTGAAGATGTCACCAACTATTTGTATGAGAGCTTAGGCATTGAAGATGTCACCAACTATGACTCCCTCAGAAGCTTTACAGAATTACTTTGGCCTCATGGCCATCACCAGTTCAGGTAAGGAGGATTAATCTTGACCTTGTCGGAGTTTCCTAGGTGATATCTTTATAATACAACTAGCTAAATCAATTGGTTGTTATTTTAAAAAACCGTTGATCATTGATACTATTTTTTTTATTGAAAAGACAACCGCTGTCCATATACTTTCAGTAAATAAGCTTATTTTTTTTCCAAGATGATTGGAAAGATTGTTTCCTGTCATTCAGGTTGAAGGAAAAGCTTACTGTTGCAAATGACAAGGAATGAAATGATTTTCTTGTCATCTGCTTTTGGAGGGAATTACATTAAAAAAAAAAAAAAAAAAAAAATCAATTTGGCGAGATTACATTAAAAAAAAAAAAAAAAAACAAGTGACCTCAATTTGGCGAGAACAAAAGTTTAATTCGCAAAAAGCGTAGTTTGCTGGAAGGCTAAAAACTTTTATGTTTTATAATCCGAGATGGACTAAACCTCGATGTTACCATAAAAAACAAAAGTGACCTTTATTACAAAGAATGAATTATGAAATTATGAACTATAATTCAAGTGAATTTAACCTTACTTTTTTTTTTTTTATCAGCAGAAAAAATACTATTTATTATTATTATATTAGAATCCAGGAATAAGATACTATTTAACCTTGCTTAGTACTAATTTCATGAAAAATGAATAAACTATTGTAGCCAAACAATTAGCTCCACGTTGAAGCCAGTGGAAGAGCTATGCAAGATAATACAAAAGATGATTATTGATAGCTATGGATTGAAAGAAAAATTAGGGTTGATAATGGAAACAAAGACTTTGTTAAGGATGATGAAATACAAAGCTCCTCCAAGTGGGGAATATATGGATGGACTCAAAGCCCATACAGATAAACCAATGTGTACTCTTTTGTTTGAGGATCAAGTTTCAGGGCTTGAAATTGAAACCAAAGATGGACAATGGATTCAACTCTCTCCATCCACCACCAATTCCTTTTTCTTTATTGTTGGAGATCCTCTTATGGTAATTTCCTTGGTTCATTGATTTCTTCTTAGGTTCTGTTTAGGATTGAGTTTATATCTGCTTTCAAACCATTCGAAGAAATTCCTCAAAGAACTAAGCATTGAAGTTGTGTTATGAACATTGATTTGCAGGCATGGAGTAATGGAAAATTGCATGCAGTGAAACATAGGGTGATGATGAAGGGTGACAAAGACAGGCATTCTTTTGGAGCATTTGCAGTTCCAGTAGAAGGGACTATCATCAAGCCACCTAAGGAATTAGTTGATGGAAATCAACCCCAGCTTTTGAAGGAATTTGATTATATGGACTTCATAATATTCTCATATTCAAAGGAGGGAATGACTATAGAATCAGCAAAGCAGATGTTTGCATTCGCTGGGAACAATTAAGTAATCATTCGTGGAAAGGCTCAATACATACATTCACCCTTAAACTTTGCAATTTTAATTTTATGACACCTTAAATTTTATAAATGATTTATCATACACTTGAACTTATAAATTTTAATAATATAACACATGTTTCAATACTAACATCAATTAATTTTAGAATTTTTGATTTCTATTGGTAAAATATCGATTCAATATCCAGCTAGCAAAATACGTTTAGAATAATGATTTTCACGAATTTCAACTTTTTAACGTGCTTAATTGATCTAATTTTACAAGTCGAAATTTCAAACTTTTTAATTATTTAATTGATCGAATTTTACAGTTAAGGTGTTCAATAAAATAATTTTTAAAATTGAAGTGTAGCAGACATAATTTTATACTGGATACATTTAATATGTCAAAATAAAAATTGAATATCACGAAATTAAAATAACGAAATTCAGAAGGTAAATTTATATATTCTACCTTTGTGGAAACATGGGCCAACCTGCCTCTCTCGGATGATATGTACAACATGCTCTCAATGATGTTTCAAATAAAATCTGTTTCTCTCTGCAATTTTAGATTTTGCATTTCAAGATATGTCGTTCAAATTATTGTGAAAGAAGCATTACATAAAAAACATCAAAAGGTTGTTTTTAAGGTACAATTTCATGTATTCTAATCAATGGATTTGTCGGTTTTTTCAACAATAGAACGCAAAATTGAAGAAGATATTACAATTTTAAGAGAATAAACATTAGTGGAAACCACAGTACAAAGTAATCAGAAAATGAGACAATTTGCAAGGCAGCCAAATGAACTGAGGGAAAGCATTCCCTAAGATGATGGTCATAACAGAAATTAAAGATGGTAAAACAGGTAAGCTATGGATGAAAAGCATATACTTCTCAATAGAATACAAGAGGCATTACGAACTGTCCAAGAAGCTTGAACAGTGATCTCTAAGTTAACAGTAGTATCATGTCAAAGGTAAATACAAACGACAACAACAA